TTTTCTTCTCTTCACTACACCAGCATTTTTTTCTATCCATCATATTTTTAATAGTATTCTGACTTGTAAGTGGATTAGTACACCTGCTAAGAGATTAAGAAGCCAACATCATGGGCCAGTCATGGTGGACCACATCTATAATCCCAGCATTCTGGAAGCAGAGGCAGACAGAGCTCTGAGTTCAAGGCCAACCTGGTTTACAGAGTGAGATTCAGGACAGCCAGGGCTACATAGAAAAACCTTGTCTCGAAAAATTAAAAAAAAAAAGAAGAAGAAGAAGAAGGAGGAAGAAAAAGGGAGAAGGAGGAGGAGGACGAGGAAGTAGCAGCAGGCAACACCAACATCAGGAGAACAATATACCACCTAGAAGGTATCAATTCTAAATTAAAAATAAGTGTTTGTGAACACTTTGTAAGTGTAAAGCTTAAACACAGTTTAAGTTCTAGACCTGAGTAAATTTGTTATTAATTCATGTGGTAATGAAAGCTGAATCACTACTTTTAAATATCTCAAAAGGCATACTATTAGCTACTCACTACTATAAGAAAAAGAATCAATCTATTAATAACAGTCTAGAAAAATAAACTCAAGATAATTAAGATTAAAACTCTTACGTAAATAAAAGGCTATGCAAGTGGCTGTGTATAATTTCTAGAAAGTCTATTTTCTGTTTCTTCAGAGAAAGCACAAAAGACTTATAACCTGAAATTCATTTATACCAAACAAAAGGTAAGGAGTGATAACTCAAAGTTTCCTGAATGCAACAGCCATCATGGGACTGATCTACTCAGTAGCCCTTGTCTGTCAATACTATTTCTTCATCAACTGGTTTCTCAATGACATAGTCCCTTGACAAATATTTTGTTCAATAAAGTAGGAAAACTACAGCACACAATATTCTTTGCAAAAGTCATAGATTGGATCTTTATTCAAAATGAACTGTGGTGATTTGAATAGTGATGGCCCCCAAATACTCAGGTGCTTGAATTTCTGGTTATAGGGAGTGGCACAATTAGGAGGTGTGGCCTTGTTGTAGGAAGTGTATAACTGTGGAGGCAGGCTTTGAGATCTCCTTTGCTCAAGCTATGCCCAATGTCGCACACAATGGGTTCTGCAGCCTGCAGATCAAGATGTAGAACGCTCAGCTGTTTCTCCAGCACTATGTCTGCCTGTATGCCACCATGAAGATAATGGACTAAATCTCTGAAACTGTAAGCCAGCCCCAATTAAAAGATCTTTAAAAGATCTGCTGTGGTGATGGTGTCTCTTTACAACAATAGAAACCCTAAGACAGTAATTTTCCATTTTGTGAACTGTAGTTTCAAATGAGTAAGGTTATTAGGTGTCAGGTAATTGCAACCCCCATTTCTATCATATATTTGATATATATACACAGTCACATATAACCATATATAACCATGTAGAAAACTATACCTAAGACTATAAACCCCTATCGAAGTAAATTATATTCCCAGTCAACAAACCACCTAAATCATTTTAGAGAAACAGTAATTGAAACCCTAAAATGAATGGCATGCTATCCTGTATTTTCTATAATAGCTACTCTATTGAACATAGTAGACTCTTACCTTATTGTGATTCCCCTAGTTCAATGCTCTAATGCTCACTTCTCTTCATTATTTCTAGATTGTACTTCCAAGAAATGAATTTAAAATATAAGATAAATTCAACATGTTTTCACAATATATGCTTGCCAACATATATTACGTTACCTGTCCCAAGTCTTTCTACATCACAAACAAGCACAAGTGATGGAAAATTGTCAGTCATCTACAAAGTAAATGAAAATAATCTGTATTTTTAAATGTAGATTTAATGAATGATACTACCTAATCTATTGACATGCAAGATTAGCTTTGAAATATTGTAACCTGTTACCAGAAAAAAAAAAAAAACCCAACAATGAAAACTAATGCAAAGGATTATAACTTTTTATTTAGCAAGACCACTCCTGAAAAATAACCTACAAAGTTATGAAGTCTCTTTATTGTAAACTTCCTTTCCTGAACTAAAAACAATCAAGAGGTCTGAAGTGATTAAATCAGAGCTTAAGAGCTCTTACTGCACTTTTCAAAGGACCTGGGTTCTATTCCCAGCATCCACAAATGCCTGTAACCTGATTTTCATGGAATTCAATGCCCTCCAGCCTCCACCAACACTTGTACCCACACAGTACACAGAAAGTCAGGCAAGCACACAGACATACACATAAAAAATTTTTTTAAGAAAATAAGTCAAAAGGGCTGGAGAGAATGTCAAGTGATTAAGTGCACTAACTGTTCTTCCAGAGAACCTAGGTTCAATTCCCAACATCCACATGGTAGCTTATGACTGTCTATAGCTTCGGTTCTAGGGGACATCACACCCTGACACAGACACACATGCAGACAAAACACCAATGCACAAAAAATAAAAAAAAGAAGTCAAGATATTCAAGATTAAGGATTTCAAAATTAAATGATTATTGGGAGAAAATCATGTTGAGGTATACTAAGTGTAACTGAAAGCAAGCATTTGAAAAGTGTATTATGAAATGAGATATACCATCAAATCCAGAGTAAGAGTACACACACAGAGAGAAAGAGAAAAAAATAATCTGTTTATTATTTTACTAGGATTACAAGTCATTTTGCCTTTCTGTTTCATTTTATTTCTAAAGTTGAAGTTAAAAGAAACTATATTTTTTGTTAAGTTTAGGACAGAAAGCCAAGTTCTTTGAAATAACAAACTACTTCCCAATAACTGAAAGTTTGCTCCCCTCCAGGAGCTTACGAAGGGTTTCTGAAATTATTGTAACTATTATTATTATGAAGAAACATACTTCAAAACAATCAACAAGAGTTAAAACTAATGATGCTATCTATAGCATTCACAACACTGTAATTTGTGTTTGCAAATACTACTTGTCAGGTGCACGAACTACAAGCAACTCTTAGTGAATTTTAAAATGCACTTGAGTTATTAAATAACTATAAAGAGATGAAGATCGTTATATAACCAAAGATTAAATCTATACTTAGGCCAAGTATGTTAGGAAATAAAACTATTGTATTGATACTTGATAATTATCAGCAGGAAAACAAGGACTGTAACAGAGTATGGAGGTTTAGGTAAAATGTTGAAATTAATTTATGCTACAAATAACTAAGCATGGATCTTAAAAGATGAGAAAATATTTAATCAAGACGAAAAAAATTGAAAAGAAGTTCTAGTTTCATACTTAATTTCTAAAGTGTCTTGCATTGAGAAAGCAAAAACAATAAAAATGTTACTACATAATCATACACATATGTTACACATGGTAACAAATGAAAGGGATAAGGAGAATATTTAATAAAGAAAGCTTTACAATTTTAAGACTGCCCCTTCTCATAACCGCTCAGATTTTCCTGTTTCTGTGTGTACATAGAAACACTCTCAATAAAACATTACCTAGTATCAACTAAGACTTAGCAGACAAATATTTTAATGTAACCTGAAAATTCTGGTATATTTTACCATTTAAAAAGTGTTTCATTTTCTAATAAATAGAGAAATTTGTTCCTGGAAATGTTTTGCAATGCAACCATTTCATCACACTTTAAAACAAAACCTAAAATACAAAGAAAAAAAAAACAGAAACTATCACAAAACGTTTATGAATAATTAATTCTCCAGAGAACACAAAAATAACTAATAAAAATAACAAGTATGTTAATAATAAAACCAAAGACAAATCTATTTCATATATTCATAGGGGCATTAAAAATCTATCAATACATAACATTCTATACCACAAAGTAAGCATGAACTTAGTTGAAAAAAGAAAGTGTGATCTTTGAAAAGTGTTGTGTGCCATCTTTATCTTTATGACCAATGTGGTAACACTCTGTCCCTGAAAAGATCATCTCAAACATTAATACTCTGACCTCTAAGAAAACTAATATATAAAGTTTATAGTGAGAAAAAATATGTGTTTTTATGGGTTTCCAAAAGGGAATTCTTATGTCACTAAGAGCCATATAATAATATTGATTTTTTTTTTACTGCCAAATTACAGTCTTCAGAATTCTAGGAAAATAATCAAAGCAGATTTTCATCATTACTACGATGAAAAAAAAGACTTAACTGCATTACAAAAAAGCAAGGAATCTCTTTATAAATTTTTGAGCACAAAAATGAAATTATATTAAAATTCAGGCTACCTTTAAAGTATTCAGTATCCTAAAACTGACCTTGTAAACTGGGTCAGATTGACACTTGTTCTGATTATCTGTCAAACATGAATTCAGCAACAGCTTGCTTCTAAGACAGTGAATCACTTTTATGCTACTCTCTCATTTCTTTCCACACTAGACACAATGTTCAATGTATGGAAATATGACATTAATTCTTATAAAAGAATTTTGAAAATCAACTAGAATATTCAAAATATCCCATTGTTTCAAATGAAAATAGATTGCTTATTGAAGTGACAGTGTTTCATTTAAATTACCTTAAAAATTAAGCTTCTTTCTTAGTTAGGATTTCTATTGATCTGATGAAACACCACGACCAAAAAGCAAGTTGTGCAAGAAAGGGTTTATCTGCAAATGCCTAAGCATTCAATTTTAAAAAAATTAATCCATGATTAGATTTCACAGGAACAATATATAGAAAACAAAATTTACCTTTATGTTCTAAGAGCAGAAATGATATGAGAGCATAAAACTCATAACAATAACTCCATCACCTTTTAGATAAGCCTGCCAAGAAATACTTCCTGTCAATTTCAGCTGATCTTTACCCATCATCCCAATCAGTGAATACTTATTGTGCCTACAGTCTGGGCATCATTATTTCAGGTTTGGGAGATAAATTAGGTGACAGCACAAATAGTCTTCTTTTCAAAAACAACTTCAAATAAATATGCCAAATAGGAAAATAATACAGAATACTAGATGACAATGGTTAATAAAGGTTAAAATGAGGCAGATATCTTGTATAAGGCTGTCACAAACCTTTTACTGATGATGTGATGACCTCTAAACATAAACCAGAAGAGATGGAAGGAGATCTGTGGATAGGGATCTAAGTCCTCATCACCCTGAAACCAAATACACTCTTCAGAGAGCAGGAAGGTCTGTGTGACTGAAAAACATGAGCAAATTTATTCTATTTATCAAACATTTATTGATTAAGTTCTAAAAGTTATACTAAATGTTTTGTTATAAATAGATGATAGAAATATACTCACTGGCCGCAGATGTACATATGCTTACAATACAGAATGATAAATATCATAAGGCAATTGAGCTGGCTCTTAAAAAGAGACCAATAGTAAGTTCTTCCAAAAGAAATAAATCAAGAGCCCGGAAAATCAAAGGAAGATGCTATCTATGGAAATCAGTATAGCAGTTCCTCAGAAAGTTAGAAATAGATCTACCACATGACCTAACAACAGCACTTCTGGGCATATACCCAAGAAACTCAATTTCCTACTCCAGAGACAAATGCTCATCCATGTTCAGAGCTGTTCTGTCCATTATTAGAAGGGCATGGAAACTGCCTACATGTCCATCAATTGATGAATGGGTATCAAAAATGTGGTACCTATACACAATGAAATTTATTCAGTTGTAAGGAACATAAAGAAATTATGAAATTTTCAGGTAAACTGGTTATAGGCAAAAAACAACCAAACAGAATAAGGCTACTCAGGCCCAGAAAAACAAAAACAACATGTTCTCACTGATGTGTGGGTCTAGGTATAAAATATTTAGATTTGTGTGTTTAATTTGGAGGACCTACAGAATCCAGGAAGTTGGAAGGGGAACAGTAGAAAAGAAGAAGAAAAATTTTAAGGGATGAGAGGGACAGTAGAATGCAGGTATATGAAGGGGAAAGAAGGAATGATAAGAACAGAGGTTTAAGCTGGTAAGTTGGGAAAGGGATGGTTCCATAGGGTAGAAGATGTAAGGAGAGAGGTAACTAACTCTAATGATACATCCAAATGGTCATAGGTACATCTACTATTTTATAATCTTTGTGTGTGTCTGTGTGTGCACACGTGTGCATGCGAGCGTGTGATTAGAACTACCCTATACATAGGCTTATGCTCATCTCAGAAGCCATAGGTTGCCAAATGCAAAGTCCAGAGTCAAGTGGAGCAACGCCTCTAGATGGTTCCTAAAGACTCACAAAACAATAAAGGCTATTGTTATTGTTCTTCGTTTTCCATTAGAACCTAATGGTAAGAACTTACTGCGGAAGATACTACACACATTGGTCACAGGATATGGAGAAGGCAAGTTGGTACTGATGAAAAGCTTCCTCCCTGTTGACTAACTTTCAGAGTACTAGAAGGAGCTATTCAGGCTGCTAGGGAAAAACAGCTTCAAACGCTGTAAAATATAATAATGACTAGGGTAGCAAGATATACCCATGGGTGCAGTAATGCCATGAATATTAGTGGATAATTCACCACTTTCTGGTTGGCTTTAAGGCTCACTCTACAAGAAACATATGCCTGCACTGCAAATCTGGCCAAGAACACAAAGCTGGGGAGCTCACAGGCCCCAGGCATGAACCTAACTAGTATAATTTTACTTAATGAACATAGTGTCAAATTGCCCTCTAAATTTTAATCTCTCTACTCATTGATTAGTGCCACTTTCAGACCTCTTTGTGCAGCAGATGGGCAGTTAATGTAAAAACCTCACAACTGGGCAAAGTACAGAGGGTAAGTAACTGTGGAGTGCTCAGGCACAAATGGAACATCTATATCAACTTTCTCCCAGGCTCAGCAATTATCACAAAAGAGGAGACATAAAGAGTGTAAGAAACAGCAGTCCAGGAGGATGGGAGCAAAGAGTATCTTGGGACATGACAAGACTACTTCAAGCACCAACACACAGTGGCTATGGCTGCCTGCACAAGATCTGAAAAAGATCAAGCCAGTTAACACTCTAGCATGAATAAAGAAGAAGAAAGAAAAAACTGAAAAATTCCTAGAATTAAATAAAAGTAAAAATATAATACACCAAAATTTATGAGCTATGACAAAGACAGTCCTAGGAGCTCTATCAATCCAAGTCTAAGTGCCTCCATCAGAAAAATCAAAGGAAACTCAAGTAAACGATTTACTGATGTACCTAGGAACATTAGGTAAAAAGGACAAACAAAATCCAAAAACCATAAACAGGGAGAAATCATTAAGTCAGAAAAGACATTAATGAAACAGAAACAACAACAAACAATATAAAGACTCAATTAAATGAAGAGTTGGTTCTTTAAAGTGATGAACAAGATTGACAACCCTTTAGCCAAATTAACCAAGAGAAAGGATCCAAATTAATAAAATGAGAGAACAAGGAAACAGAGCAATAGACACTGATGAAATCCAGAGAGTCATTAGAATACACTTCAAGCACCTATATTTCACCATATTGGAAAATCCTGAAAGAAATCATCAATGCCTTAATCCATATGATTAAGTTGTTTGAATAAGAATGTCACCCACAGGCCCTAATATTTGAACACTTAGTTCACAGTTGATAACACTATCTGGGGAGACTGAGGAGGTACAGCCTTGCTGGAAGGACTACATTACTGGAAGCAGAAGTTAAGATTAAAAGCTGAATCAGATCTGAAAACTTCCTCTGTGCTGTCTAGGTTTCATAGTGCCAGACACGTTATACAAGCCAGTGACATTAAAAAGCATCAGTGGTATTATTTAGTAGCAAACCCGGCATGCTACAATACCAACCTCACAGACAAAATATGCCCACTACAGCAATAGCAGCATAAAAGTTATGGTGGTAAACCAATCATTTTTGGCCTAGATATGAGACCTGCTCAACAGGATGGAAATTCAGGCTTGGTCATAGCCCTAGGGAGGAATCATCTGCTATTGTCCTGCTGAATGGATATTCTGTCAAACTGCCTTCTTAATATTTGTTTAGACACATAGATTCATGTTGCTTTCAACCTTAGTCAGAGAAGCTTCTCTCTGCAATCATCAGCAGTTACTTCAGAGAATTAGAATTGGTCCATGCTGAGAACATGTGACTATTGATTACTGAGCCCTAAATGGAGTAACTATATCAGCCCTTAACTCAAGCTCAAAAACCAGGGCAGAAAGAATGTAAAAGCTAGAAGATTAAGATGCCTGAGATGCCATCTTCTGAACACAGCACTGCCATTTCATTCAGAAACTAACTCTAGCTATAGTTCTCTACACAAGAACTATACCAGATCACACCAACAAGATCAGCCAACATTGTACCATGCAGCACTGACTGGTTTCAATGGGTTACAAAAAAAGAGGAAAGAAAAGGAAAAAAGAAAGGACATCAAGAGGGAAGAGGGATGGGCTAAGGGTGCCTGAGGGAGGAGGAAGGAGAAGTTGAAAGAGAAGATGACTAAGATACAGTGTTTACATGTGTGAAATTTCCACTAATAAATTTTAAAGATTCTATTAAAAAATAATTAATTTAAGTTAATAATATTTTATTAAGTCACAGAACTTCACCAATTAAAGGTATTACTATATCCTTTAGATGTGTGAGTGACTAATAGCTATAATATTAAGCATTATATTTCTTACATATCCATTCAAACAGTTGTTAGAGTTCACACCAATTTACTCAGTTCTAGTTTTTCTCTTCAAACAGAGAACTATCACATTAAAACATAAACACTATGTATTCAAAAAGAAACCAATAGGAAGTGTCTACATAAACCAAGTACCCAGTGAGTTCAAAGATGCAAGCAACTAACTATACAAAGGACTGAGTAAGTACAATCGGATAACTTTAGCATAGCTTATTCAAATTCTCACTATGCCTGTGTTCCTCCAAAATAAAGTCTAGAAAACTAAAAAACTATTTTTGGCATTCTGAAGGTAGTTACATGACATGGCTTTGTGTCACGTATGCAAATCTCTATGAGTAAGCATGCCTTTCTAAAAGGAGTACACTCAAGCGAGAAGCTTTCTAGCATTCCCTTTGTTATTCTTTCTACTTGGAAAGTAACACAGGTTCAGTGGTGGAAGTCAACAGGAAAATAAAAGCAAAATTCACCACTAGAGCTCAAGGGAAAAAAAAGTGGTTACCTCAATTCCTGATTATGTCAGTTGCTTATGAACTTTTATAAAAGCCTTGGGGCTTCCTATGATATGAGACAAATAAAACCCTTACTCAAATATTTAAGTTGTTGTTAAGATTGTTTTTTTACTGGAGCCAGGGGGCTTTTACCATTCAAAATGCAATATAAGAAGTGAAATTGAAGCCCATGGAGGTGGCACATGCCTTTATTTCCAGCAAAGGCAGAGGCAGGTGGATCTCTGTGAGTTTGAGTCCACACTGGTCTACAGAGCTAGTTCTAGGAAAGCCAAGGCTACCAAAGAAACCATGTCTAAATAAAATAAAATAAAATAAAAATGATAACAAAAACAAACAAACAAAAAGGTAAAAATGAAGTTTGATTATCCAAAACTCTTTCTGACTTAGGAATGATCTAGTCCTTCCTTGGATATAAGAAATAAAAATATTTCTAAATTCATATTCATATACTTTTCAGTCACCTGGACTACTTTAATATATGTCAAATTCCTACATAGAGCCTGTATGTTCTATACTCTTTATAAGATATTTTCTTTCTTTTCTTAATAAGAGCCTTCAATTCCCAAAATTTTCAAAAGCATTTTAAAGTATGGAATATATCATTCATGTATGTAACACACACACACACATAATAGGTGACAATGAGGAAAAAGGGGAAAAGGAAGGAAAACGAAGAGAGAGAAAGGAGGAGGAAGCAAGTATTTTGAAGTATAAACTGGTTTTCAATTACTTGGACATGTTATAAAGAAGGTTCTGTATACTAATATATACAGTATAGTTTTAAAACTGAGAATATTCACTTATACACATATACCTTCGAAATCAGTAATTCAGCTGTTAGATTTTTCCAGCTTTAAAAATATCCCAACAAATATTTTGTATACTACTTCCCACCAGAGATATATTAATGTCATAGTTGATCTATGTCTTATCCTAGAAAGTGCTCTTAATAATCTCCTTATACAAATATTCTCTCTCACACACATACACATATTCTTCTTAAACAAATTTTAAGTACTTTTCTTG